CCAACCGCTCCGGCTCGCCCAGCCGAAACTCGTGGACCGCGCCGCCGCTAAAATGCGCCGCGAGCGAGGCGCGCACGGGGTAGGAGAGCAGCGCGGCGTGCGTGACGGCCTCGGCGCGGAGGCCCAGGCCGGCGAAGTGGTCGAACACGTGGCGCGCGGTGGCCGACGCGGGCTTTGTTCCCGCGAGGTGCGGGCGCATGGTGAGCGCGCGCAGGTAGCCCGCGATGGTGGCGTTGGAGGCGGAGGAAATGAACGCGTGTTCCGGCGAGGAGGTCGCATGGTAAGGGAAATGCAGGGAATAGAATCCCACGACGGCGAGAACCAGAACCGTCACGAATGCCAACAACGGATTCGGCTTCCCCGGGAACGTGCGCTTTAACAGAAACTGAACCATTTTTTTTTAGGACAAAACAAAAGAATCACGATACTCTGTTTTCCTGTTGAAACTCAGACTGCGTCTTGTTTATTTATAATAATAATCTTTATTTATACACATTATCTATACTAATTTATAAAGAAAATATTCTTTTAATAATTACTATGATCTCTATTTTTTTTAATCATTATATTCTTTTATTTTAAAAATATATTTTTTAATTTAATTTAAAAACTTAAAATTAATAAATTAATCCTAATACTAATTAAATTAATATATTTTTCATATAATAATAATAATGTGCTGGAGGAGCTTGAAACGCATCGCTGAGCTAAGTTTCGCGTGCGTTTGGCGTGAACTCTATGGAACAGCGATTCAAGTTATGTGTATAAAAAAATGGGAAATGCTACTCCAATAGAAGTGTGCCTTTCCGGTTTAAGCAATTTTTCTAATTTTGAATACAAGGTTTCTTAGTTTCCGAAATTTGTTTTCCGGATTGTCGTCTTTGGAAACGTAGCAGTTAAATTTGTCTCTCTCATCAAACTACCCTCCTAACATGAAGGTCTTTGATTATAAAATTATATATACATAAGTTTGAGATTATTTCAATTATAAAACTAACATTGTGTCATAACTTTTTTTTTAATCTAAATTACAATCACAACTTGATTTCTTACTATTACGGTATATAGTTACATTACTATATTATTACTTACACGTGGATATCTCAACTTGTGAAAATATTTTGTTATGTTACATGCAATATAATAGTGTGCAGTGACAAATCTAGAAATTTTAGATAGTAGAGACAATATTTATTTATATATTTGTAGCATTTAAAATTTTACATAACTTTTAAAAGTATAAATATATATATATCATAATTATTTTTTACCAGTTTTTAATTTACGATTACGATTAACAATGAAAATAAACTATGATTACAGTTATCTAATTCTAAATAGAACATAAATCTTTCACTCTTTTCTATTTTGATTTTTTTTAATCAATATATACAATT